CTCTTTCTTGTTATTTCCCCTCCAAGACTTGTTTTTTAAAACACTGGAGTCAGAAAATTGTCTCTTTTGCTACAAAAAAGAAGAAAAGACTTTGTAACTTGACCAAAGTCTTTTATATGTCATACTTTATGTTTCAATAAACCAGTTTTTAAAAGAGAAAAAAAAATAGCAAAGTTTACATTATGATTTAGGGTCATTCAAAATGAATTATCTTTGATGATTTTGGTAAAAATGTTTGTGTCATTAACTTAATCAAATATGAAATATAAATGAAATATACATGGAATGTTTACTTGAAAGACATACTATTTTAACTTATGATGTTATCATAGAGATGAATACCTAATGGTTCAGTCCATTGAGTGAACGGTAACAACATCCAAGATTTTTCAAGGGCCTACTCCCAGGTTCTGTGTTAAAACACTCTCATACGTTAAACCACTTAATTTTCACAACAGTCCTATGACATAGCCCCTATTGCCATTTCTGTTTCTTGTACAAGACATTGGGGATTAAAGCAGGTATGTGACTTATCCAAGGTAAGGGAGGGAAGTAGGACTTAGGCTCATTATTTATTGTCTCAAGTAGCTAGTTATCTTCATGGTATAATTTGAGGGATATTATAAAGATTTGCACCAAAATTATCTCTTCATCTCTATACCAAATGCCAGAAATTTTATTATTAAAGATTTAATCCTTGGTGGTAAAAACAATTTACTTCTTGGAGTCCTCATAGATAAATAAAATAGGGCTGGCCCCATAGCACGGCAGTTAGGCACTGTGCAGAGGGAGTTGGATCCTACATGGTGGAACCCAATTTGAATCCCAGCTGTGGCGGCTTGAAAAACATGCCAGGTATGTGTGCATGGGTCGAGGGGCATGATGAGGTGGAGAAATGAAAGGAAAACAGATTGTGGCATGACCAAGCCCTGTTGGGAGGTGCTCATCCTCTTTTGCTCACTCTCTGCTCTCTCTTGTGCATATGCATGTGCCCTCTTGCATATGAAACACAACACAATACAACACAATACAATACAATACAACCCAGCCTCGGGGCTTAGTCAGTAGTATACTGAAAGCCACATGGTCAACCACGGGTTTGGATCTCCAGCCTGGTTGACCTGAAATGTGCGTGCTCAAGATCCTGACAAACTGGAGGACTGGGGGGGAGGGGACTGCAGTGTGACCTGACCAGCTTGAAGGTACTTAAGGTACTTTTCTCTCTCTTATCTCTCTTGCATGCATGTGTGCACGTACATACACACACACACACACATACACACACACAAACACACATACACTACTATGAATAAAATAAACTTAAAAAAGACTTTTATGTGAAAAAAAATTTAAAATCTAGGAAACACGACACATTACTTTTGAAAGCTTGGTTTTGGAAAAAAGCAAGATAGTGTAGTACAGTACAGGATGTTTAGGAGAAGTAGCAGAAAAGGAGTCCTAAAAATAGCTGAAATAGGTAAAAGGGGAGAATAGATAACCACTGAAGACAAAATCATGGTATAGTGATAAAGAAATCAGCAGGTTTAAAAAAATATGTAATTATTTATTTAATTTTATTTGTTAATAATAATTATTTTTTAATGTGAACAGAGAGATATAGGGAGAGAGAAAGAAAGTGAGAAAGCAAGCCATCAAGTCTGGGAATTGAACTGTGGTCGGCCATGTGGGAGTCCAGCGTCTTAACCTCCATGCCACCTGCTAGCCTAGTAGGTTCTGTTTTTTTTTGTTTGTTTGTTTAAACAGAGGTTTTTGTTTTGTTTTGTTTTGTTTCCATAGGGTGCATGAGCTTGCTAGAGAGACAGAGGGAGTTAGAGAGAAAGTGAGAAGGGAGACGGCTATGCCACAATCCCTTCTCCATTCTCCTCTGAGTATTTTGGGTGCGTACACACACACACACACACACACACACACACACACACACACACGACCAGCATGGGTCTGGGACTTGAACTGCAGTTGTCCAGTGCCTTAACCATTATGCCGCCTACTGGCCTCTCAGAAGTTTCTTATTAAATTGCCCCAGGGCACATGCACTTGCCAGAGAGAGAGAAAATGGAGGTGAGGGGAGGGAAGGAAAGAAAGCACCTCCCCAATGTGGTGTGATTATATCACAATTCCTGTTTCTCCTCTCACCCATCAGGATTTTGAGCATGCATACACAGGCACCTGTTGTGTTTTCCAAACCAGGGGCCAGGGTTTGAACCAAGGATATCCATGTGCGATCAGACTGCATAGAGCTTAACCACTGCACTATAGGATGAGCCCTGGAATGATTAGATTCTTACTTTGACGTTGCCTCTAATCATCTCGGGCTATTTAAGATGTTACTGACATCTAGGAGCTGTCCCACAGTACAGTAGCTAAGTGCTGTGTAGGGAGTGCTGGGTCCCACAGGGCCAATGGCAGTTTGATTCTAGTCCTGCGGGGCTTGAAAACACACTGGGCATGTATATGCAGGATCCTGATGGGACAGAGAAAAGGCGTGCCCAAGCCCCACTGTGCTCTCTCTGTCTCTTTCTCTCTCTTTCTGGTATGTGCATGTGACTTCTGGCATTAAAAAAATAAGTTACTGACATCTCTGTGCCCCAGATCACGCATATCTATAGGGTGAAGACTGCTTCTATTCAGAGCAGTGTTCTGGAATTCTACCTAACACAAACTCAAAACAGGTTTGATCCATACTTTTTTTTCCCAAAAAATTATTTATTTAATTTTATTTGTTATTATTTATTTTTAAAATTTGACCAGAAAGACAGAGGAAGAGTGAAAGAGAAAGTGAAAAAGCAAGCCGCCTGGTCCAGGACCTGAACCGTGTTCACCCATGTGGGAGTCCAGCATCTTAACCACCATGCCACCTGCTGGTACCCATACTTTTTTTTTTGATAAAAATCTTAGCTTAAGGGACTAGCAGTTAGCGTAATGGCTATGTTACTGAACTCCCATGTAGCTGACCATGGTTCAAGTCCCAGACCGGTGGCTTAAACTCATGCCGGGCATCTGTGCGTGCGTGCCCAAGATCCCAAGAGGAGAATGGAGGAGAAGGGATTGCGGCAGTGTGGCCATCCCCCCTAGGGGGTGATTTCTTGTTTTCTATCTCTCTGTCTCTCTCTGTCTTTCTGGCGAGTGCACGTGCCCTATAGCAAAAACCTCTACAAAAAAAAAAAAAAACAAAAAAAAACTTAGCTTGAAAAAATAACAATTCTCTATTTCCAATACTTAAAACCTGGTTGACTTCTATTTTTAGACTTCTTTTCCAGCTTTAAGATTGATCCTACTTAATTTACTCTCTTTGAATCTATATGTTTTGAAGTATTATGGTATGGGTGAAATTTATGTAGTATATGGGGTAACTATACTCCTTTTTTTTTTTTTTTTTGAGAGGTTTTCGCTATAGGGCACGTGCGCTCACCAGACAGACAGAGAGACACAGAGAGACAGAAAGCGAGAAATCATCCCCAGGGGGGATGGTCACACCGCAATCCCTTCTCCTCCATTCTCCTCTCGGGATCTTGGGCACGCATGCACATGCGCCCGGCGTGAGTTTTAAGCCACCGGGGTCTGGGACGCGAACCTCAGTCGACTACGTGGGAGTCCAGCGACATAACCATTACGCTAACTGCTGGTTCCCGTAACTACAGTCCTTTAATGATTTCATATTAATGTAGTAGTGCATGACAAGGATTCAGTGTATACACAATCCTAGGCAGTCTTTGACGTCTATCTGCAAAGTTTGTATACATTCCTTAAATATAAATGGCCAATTGGTATCAACAAAAATGAAGAAAAAAAGGGTAACCCTCTTCAAGCAGTATTCCTCTTAGCCAGCTTTTCTGTTCAAGTACTAATCTCTTTTTTGGGTTATCCTTTTAGTATAGAAAAAAAATTAAATAATCAAAAGAAGACAGAATGGTATATTGAGTCTTTATCAACTAGTGGCCAATTTTGTTTCAAATACACCTAACCCCATTTTGTTTGTTTTCTTTCTTTAACCCCACCCCTACCCCCCTTCTCACCAAGGGTGTATCTGCTTGCTAGAGAGAGGCCATGACAGGGAAAGTGAGAAATCACTTCCTGGGAAGATGGCCATGCCACAGTCCCTTCTCCATTCTCCTCTCCAGGGATTCTGGGTATGTATACACATGTGCCCAGCATGATTTTTAAGCTGCCAGGTCTGGACTTGATCTCTGGGCAGCCATGTGGGTGTCCAAAACCTAACCATTCCAGCTGCCTCCCCCCACCTTTATGCCAGATGGCATATGTATGCCCATGAGAGATAAGGAGAGAGAGAAAGCACATCCCCATGCCACCCCAGTCATGTCACAATCCTTTTTCTCTCAATTCTCCATACTGGAAGGATCCTAGGCATAGGTATGTGAGCCTGGTGTATTTCCAGCTGACAGGGCTGGTACTCTGTCAAGTTGACAGCTACGTAGGATCTGGCCTCCTCTGCGCAGTGCCTAACCACTTTGAAGTAAATCCCAGATATCGTACATTTTATACTTAAGTATTTTAGTACTACCACTCTTCTTAAACCTTTCCCTCTTTCTTTTCTGGTCAACATTTTCCCACCTCCCAAAGATTTCATCTCTCTTTAGAAAACAATTTATTCATTCCACATTTATTGAGCATTTACTACATACCAAATAATTGCACATAAATGATTTCACCTAACTTTTATGATTCTCTTGCTAGGTTTTATTACTCCCTTTTATAGGTGAACAAAGACCCATGGATGACACAGATAATAAATACGAAGGTATGACTTGAACTCTTCTCATTTTACTTCCTGCATACATTTCAGAGTACCACTGCCTTCCTGAGCGAAGCTTATTATGCTACTTCCCTCCCATGTTGTTAACAACAAAAAAAAAAAATCACAAAAAAACAAACAAAAACTCTTAGATAATCTCAAAATCAGAAAGATAAAGAAGAACAAAGAGATTCTATTCTATTTTTCTGTAAGGCAAGGTAGGAGGAAAAGTCTGGGATAACAGGAAAGTAAGGCGGGTAGGCTAATTCCTGGGACCTTTAAAAACACAGGGATAACAGGAACATAGAAAAAAAAAAGTGCTACCATTTCCAAGAGTATATTCTATAGAATTGTATGATATGCTTAAAAGAGGTTGGAGGGAGCCTAATTATAAAACTGGGGGAAACAAAATTCAAAAGCTCATTACTGTAGCATTTCTCAGCTTTTTAATTTTTTAATGTTTTTATTTGCCAGAGGGCATGTGGTCTGCAGGAGGGGGAGAGGTGGAGGGGTGGAGAGAGAGAGCCAGAAAATATCCCACATGGGGAGCGGTCATGCCATAACCCCTTCTTCTCCATTTCTCCCCACTCTGAACTTTGGGCATGGATGCACAGATACCCAGCATGTTTTTCAAGCCCCGAGGTTCAGGTCTCTGACTGCATAGTAGGCCATGTGGTAACTAGCGTCCTTTATCATCATACCACTGGCTGACTCTCTCAGCACTTTAAGGTGTAACATGCATCACTGGTCTATAGAAACTATGGTACATAGCAGTTCTTGAACCTAGCTGATGCTAGATGTTCTTTAAAAAAATTTTTTTTTAAATTATTTTATTTAACTCTTTTTTTTTTTTTAATTTGATGAGAGAGAGAGAGAGAGAGAGTAAGCAAGCCACCAGGTCCGTGACTCAAACAGTGGTCGGTCATGTGGGAGTCCCATGCCCTTAACCACCATGCCACTTGCTGGTCCCTAAAAGATTTTTTTTTTTTTTTTGTATTTTCTCTCTTTCAGAAAGAGAAGAGGCTGAGGTGAAACACACACCCTCAACAAGGTCTTGCCGTGCCACAATCCCTGCCAACCTACCAGTCTTTCTGGTGGGGTTGATCTGCCAGGATTGCGGGCACGTATCCAGAATGTTTCAGGTTGACCTGGGATCTCAGCTCCTGGTCTTTTACGTGGCTCCAGAACTGTAGAGTGACCCCTACCACCTGTGAGTAGACCACGTTAGGTGTTTGTAGGCAGAACATATGACGGAGCTAGTATATTGTGAAAAACATTCTGAAAAATAGTTCTAGGATGTTTGCTAGTTTAAAAAACTCAAATGTCCCACAGTTCACTGACTTTTGGAGCTCGACTCCTGCCTCAGGCCATGAGAGCTCACAGCTGTGGTTTGGGGATGTATTAGTTCCCATCTAGTGGCTCCTGAAGAAGAAAGGGTTCTCTATTCTCTGCAATGACAATATGTTCTTTACATTGTAAACTGCAACTCCCAATGTATGTTAGTTTGATATCATAATAGACAGAGGAGGTTAGTATAGTTTTGTACTTCAAATATATTATTGACTAAGTGAGCACCTATAAGTTAGCCTAAAGCTCTAACCATCACTAATAACATTGTGGGAAAAAGAAAAATGGAATTATGTAACATCCAGATTATAGTGTATTTTGAGTTATAATGAATACAAGAAGTAACTGTGTGTGTGTGTGTGTGTGTGTGTGGTAAAAACAAAACAAACACATAACATAAAATCTATCATCTTAACTAATTTTTTTTGGAGAGGTTTTTGCTATAGGGCACATGTGCTTGCCAGACAGACAGAGAGACATAGAGACAGAAAGCGAGAAATCACTCCCCAGGGGAGATGGCCACGTCGCAATCCCTTCTCCTCCATTCTCCTCTTGGGATCTTGGGCATGCATGCACACATGCCCGGCGTGAGTTTAAGCCACTGGGTCCGGGACGCGAACCATGGTCATCTACATGGGAGTCCAGCGACATTGCCATTACGCTAACTGCTGGTCCCCATCTTAACTACTTTTAAGTGTTGTACACCAAATCTTGAGAACTTGATAATACTATAAAACTGAAACTCTACATCCATTGAATAACAACTGTCCTTTTCTTCCTCTTCTCGTTGCCTGGCAACCACCGTTCATTGTTTCTAAGAGTTTGCCTAATTTAGATACTTCATTTAAGTATAAAAGTTAACTTTTAAAGTAAAACATGACTGTACTCTTGGTACTAATAGCTTTATTCACAATGAAATTATGTGAATTAAAACCTTAGTAGAGGGGAACCAGCAGTTAGCGTAATGGCTATGTCACTGGACTCCCACATAGTTGACCACGGTTCGCGTCCTGGACCCGGTGGCTTAAAACTAATGCTGGGCGCATGTGCGTGCGTGCCCAAGATCCCGAGAGGAGAATGGAGGAGAAGGGATTGCAGCGTGACCATCCCCCCGGGGGTGATTTCTTGCTTTCTGTCTCTATGTGTCTCTGTCTGTCTGGCGAGCACACGCGCCCTATAGCAAAAACCTCCCCCCCCCCAAAAAAAAAACCTTAGTAGAGAAAACTGAAATAATTAAAACCTTTTTTAAAAAGTAGGTTAATTAGAAAAGTGGATATTGAATTAGGTCTAGAATTCTAGATTTTTATATACTGGAATAGCTCCAATGTATGAGAAGCCAAAATGGTTTTCAAGGAAATGAAAAATGTATTTACTTCCCATGCCAGCTGGATATCCAAAATTCACATTTTTAAAAAATACATGAAATATTCACCTGATTAAAAAAAAAAGACTAAAAATTATTTCCATGAATAGTTTTAATTAGTAAAGAAACAAATCTGTAAAGAAATAAATCTATTTAAATTATTCTGAAATATAAAATAACACAATTTAAATTGTTTGGTATATTTTTCACTTGGACTTATAACACGCAAAAAGTTTACCTGAGAGCTACTGAATATAGGCTTTTTGCCAAGTCTTCGATCATCGCCTTTGTCAAATGCAGCTGTAGAAAGAAAGAGCAATTTGTTTTTATAAGAAACATTATTACCACTATAGAAATAGAGGGAAAAATACAATAGTATACTAGCAGAAAGAAAATGTATATTTCTATGGAAATAACTTAAAAAAATTGAAATCAATCTAGTACACAAACATAATGCCCTATTAATTGTCTTCTTAAAGAACTTCATTTTCAATCTTTTTCTCTGGTCCCTAAGACTTTTATGGTATTAAAATTGAAAATTAAAAAAATGCACAGAGAAGATTCATATATTTATCTCCCCCTCAAAAAAAAAAAAGAATATTTTCAAGCTGTGATATTTTAAATAACTGGTTTCATTTAATTTTGGAATTTTCAAAAATTTATAGACTGTGTCAAATGTAATACTTTATAAACTATTAAATATGAGAAAATGTTTATCCTGAAAAGTGTAAAAATATTCTTTTGAAATTAACTCAAGATATTTTTTGGTTTTGCAGTATATTATGAGGAAAAGAGAAAAAATAAGGTTCTGTTGAAAACAAAACAGGAAGAACAATTCTCAAGCTCACATTATTTTAAGAATTAAATAAAAATTCATTTTATAAGTTAGATTTATATGGGAAATATCAGAGAATTCATGTTCATATTGTTCAAATAAGACTGTGAATGACATCAGGAAAATATATAAAAATAACGGTATGAGAGGCATAAATATAATTTAGCTCATTATTTTTTTCCTTTTGAAGGTTATAGGACTTTAAGATACATTTTGGATAAATACATGTAATGCCCCAAAATTATTTGATTAAAACAAATAATAAAAAATACACTAAGTTATCTAACTCCTTCATATATTTCCCAAGATTTCTATTCTATATGATATGTGCTATAAGACAAAGCAACATCCTAGAAATGGCATACTAGGGACTAATTTGCAGTAAGCAAATGACTCTGCACAACAATATACAGGAAGAATTAATAAATAATTTCTCCCAAAGGTTAGTAACGCAACTAGAACAGAACAAATGTTACAACAAAGCAACCAAGAATCCTTCCTTTATCTGTATTTCCTGATGCAGTAATCATGCACAAGTCAGGGCTCATTATAATTCAACATATTTAAGATTAAAAAATTATTATTGCACTAATGCAATGTAACAGAATGAAAAGTTCTTTTTGATAATTAGTTGGTTTACTGATACATTTTGTTTAGGTAGGTATATATACTTATATATACTTTTAGTTAATTCTCAAAAGAATTAAAATTTAAAAACCTTGTTTGAAGCTCGACCTAACTATGAAATCACCTAAAATACAGAAAAACAAAGTTTGCTTCCAATCAGTTGAGAGATGAAGGACACCTACTCAAGCAATGCTGATCTTGTTTCTTCACATTGTATAGATTTTGAAGTAAAGATAAACTATCATTCAAAAATCAGCACAGAAATAGTCACAAGAAAAAAGGCTAGTTTCTAAAGAACTGCTCATGATTGTTGTTTAAGAACTGGAATTTGTTTGAAAAGTGCTCTTTAGGTCACATCTAGCTACATTATGCTTATAATGCAAGACAGAACAAATCTGATACTGATTATACCACTAAAGAATTTATCATGATCAAGAGTATATCTTATCACATGTGGCTTCAATGTTTTACAGTACAAAAATGTTTGCTTCATAAAATATAGCCTCTTAAAATGTTTTTAAAAGTATACTTGCTGAATATGCCAGTATTTTTTCTAAGGCACCTGCTTTAACCTAAAAATAGTCATGAAGCCATTTTTAGTCCCACACCCTTCTCATTTTATTTTAATATTTCTGAGACAAACACACATTCTGAGCTACACACATCTTTTGTTTAATGCTAATGTTTCAAATGGTACCTATTAAATGTCAAAGACCACTGTGCAGCTCCTGAGGGACACTCCGCAATAGCACACTCCACATCACTGAACCAATCAATTGTGAAATAAAGCCCTCTAATCTAAGCAAACCACAAGAAAGGGTATCTTATAAAAAAGATGAAAAAGCTTTCTGGAAAAAAATATTT